GGAAGAGCGACATGGCTTATTCCATAACATCTCCGTTTCTTCTGCTTTTACTTCAGCCGGCGCTCATCAATCACCATGTTTTGCTACATCTCGGTAATTCACAGCGAGCATCGCCAAAAGTAAAAGTATAAAAGAGATATGCAACAGTACTTACAGTATTTTTGCAAAAGAATTCAAGAATTGCAGAGATGGAAAAAAGAAATTTTTGTATATACGTCCAGTAAACAAGTCTGTTTCCTTTACAGATGGTGAAGTTGATTTATGTCTCCATAATTTATGCAGTTTTATTACCCTCTTACATTGTACTTCGCGTAAATAACGTAGGAAAGTTAATTCTCTCTTAATACCATGATGATATAAACATATAAATTTTGTTTTGACATGATTTATTTTACATATTTTGGAACTGAGACAAATTTTATTACACTATATTGTGTATATAATTGAACAAATCATATTTAGATATATAAAAGATCTGTGATCTGTTTTATTTCAAAAATTTCAGAGAAATATTAATTGTTCAATTTCTTTAATATACAAGAAAAAAGGACTGAAGAAAGATTGCAAACGAAGAATTATGATACACGCTATGTCGCAAACTTGAAAAATAATCTCACTGTACACGTCAAGACCAAAGTGTACTCGCATCTCCAGGCTCAAAATTCGGATCAGGCTCACTCGTAGGATGCATAAAGATGAACAAGTGCTGTGCATGAGTGAAAATTAATACTGCACACCATGCAGAAATAAAAGAGAGAGATAGAGAGACCAAAAGACACACGATGAAGATGGAGACGGCTCTAGTTTTAGCGAAACTCTTGGTGAAGATATTATATTATGTTTAGGCTTTTGGAAAAAAAGAAGGAAATCTTTATAAACGCGCGGATCACAATTTAGTGCTAAGCTTCCGCAAATATTACAGTCAAAATTAGCCAAATTCTCTCGTGAGAAATAGCTAAATGCTCGCGAATACGAAGGTAACAGTTGCCAAGGTATATGCAAATGCATGGACTATACGCTTGATTAGTGTACTCCTCGCAAATGCAAGATCCTTGCGCATACAAAGATCGCTGGTTCTTGTAAACGCGAACCGCTTGCCAACGTGAAGATCGTACTTAGCGAGGATCTCATCAATGCAGAAGCAGCGGTTTAGCAAATCCTTGCAAACGTACGTACAATATTAGCGAGCTGCACGCAAATACAAAGCCATGATCTCGAAACATTTCACGAGAATGCTTATAGTTCGACGCTATTTCGCATACATAATCGTCGTTCAAAAATAAAGAGTATGCCGATTAAAGAGCCACGATAAGTTTTTAATTAAATTATAATAAATATTGAAATGTAATTTATAATTCATAAAATTATGTGTATTTATAAATATAATTTAGTTGCGGTAAATAAGATGCTCTCTTCGTAATTTCTGCTAAGGCTTTCTAATACAAAAGTCTAAACGATCGTAAAGTTTGCCTTACGATAGAGCCGCCCCCAGAGGGTGAGAAACACAGCGAGCGAGTTTAGCGGTGAATTAGTTACCTTCCACATGAGGTTTTTGTTAAGGTGGCCCCAAGTGGCGGTGGCAGATTTGGGGATATTGGGAGCTGAGGGTAAGAAGGCGTGACGTGCGTACGGCAGGGTGGCCACGATGTGAGCCTCGGTCGAGGCAGATTCATCTGGCACCGGTACTGCCGGCTGCCTATCGACTATCGCCCAGCTTCGACCGGATACCAAGTACTGTAAAAGCAACCAATCCGCCGTTTCCCCTTAACCCTTTGTTTACTGATAAGCAGGATCAGCTCTGTCAGTATCGCTCGTGTGTTTCAGTGTATGCGTGTGAATGGATGATATATATTCTCTGTATAATTATTCCATGCGTAATTACCGCCAGAAAAATTAAAATATATCACATTTTTAATAATTAATATTTATGTAGATTCACAAGATGTCGTGTCAGTAAACAAAGAGTTTTTCAACTACTACGCAGATTTTAGAAGCAACTCTGTTTCAACAAAATCGTAGAATAGGAAATTTAATGAAACTATCCTGATGCAAAAATCGTCCATTAAGTGTTAAAGAATTTCATATTTCTTTGGAAATACATTTGTGTGTGGATCAATATTTCTTTTACCTATTTTAATTTTTACAGTGTGTGATTCTAACTACAATAATATCTATTGTGTCTCGCAGATAATATTTCTCATTAAAAAATTTTTCTTTTGGAATAGTTATCAAGTAGACTTTATTCTAACAAAATATTAATTTAATATTTATAATTAAAAAGTCTAAATGGATAATATATAATATTAGCTTCATTAACCAGCTTCATTATTACGGCTACATCTAGTCCATAAATATACGTGTTCCCAATTGAAATCACAAGGCTGGGAAGACCGGAAGGCTTAAGCTCCTCGATCGATGAACCAGCGGGACAAGAGACCTCGTGCACCAATTAGGATACATAATTGTGTGGACACGGGGAAGAGGAAGGGCGCGTAAATTCCGCACGACACGAGGGAGATATGAGCGCTGTACATATCCAGCGGTATCTCGCGCGGCACCGGAAGCAGAACAGATTTAATCCGTGCGGGAGCGAATCTACGACGTAGCGCTCTGAGATACGCGACGTCGGCACGCACACTGAAGGGCTCTCTCTGGACACATCGCGACCTCCTTCCCTCCTTCGCCCTTCGGCGAGCGGACGAGCGTGTTTGTTATACGAGGACGACACGTGATTGCACTTGTTTCGAGATTCTATAGGGACGGGTCACGCGACCGCTACAGCCGGACTTCCGGTCCTAACGAAACCTACGACCGGCAGCTCTGACACAGATCGAGAAAGAGCGCTGTACGATGTCGTCCGCTTAAATGAATCATCTTTAGAATAATGATGAAATTTTGAAGCGTGTGGATTAAAAAATCTTTGAAACAAGTCAAAGAACCTCTTCGCATCTCCAAAAAATTGAATTATCTGAATACTTGAATTTATAAACATGCATTATTCATATTTAGAGAGAAACTGAATCAAAAGATGTTCTTTTAAAATCTTCGAATGACAAAATTTAATTATATTCTTGTAATTCTCGGAAAGATTGAATCCCTTCATTTTGAATTTTCTAGTTTACAGAATTTGAAAGTTTGTGTGAAAGAGGCGATAAAATAATTACCTATCTAGTTTCAACTATCTGAAAGTTTTCTCTATACTTTACCTCATAGACATGCGTTAATCAGCGAAACGCATCTAACGGATAAGAATAGAGAGAAAGAGAGAGAGAGAGAGAGAGAAAGAGAGCAAAAGTGAATGAGCATGTGTGATGCGGTGGAGGTGTGACAGATGTAACGGATTAATTTTTCTCACCCAATCTTTCTTTTTCTCTTTTAATTTCTGTTAAGTGGTTGATCGTGTAAGTGAGTGCCTATGCGAGCATTTGATTATTTTTTAATCTTTCATACTTGAAGCGCAAATCCAATTACCGTATTTTCTTACTTTCATCATTATCATAGTTACTAAATTCAATTTTTAATTACGAACTTATTTCTCGCACTTTTATAACGATAAAAACGTCTTAATATTCAAAATTTTATATAAAATAAAAATATATTTCCATCAAAAGGAAATAAATAGCATATAACATTTTGTTTTCTTCTATAAAAAAATTACAAAATGGTATTGTTCGCTCAAATTACAATAAATTAATGCATTAATAAATACGATTCCGCAGCATTCTGCGAATCGGTTGATAATAACATGCGCGACAAGTGCAAAGAGATTAAATATGCATTCGGCATGTGAAATACGTTGGCGATTTCGATGGAAAACACGCTTTTACGCAAACAGTTGCAAGCGCAATATGCAATCGTCATGCGCGTGCATTTGCATCTTCGAAAAAGCGTTTTCGATCGATCGCTTGTTCGGGGAGAGGTGAAAAAAAAAACCACTTCATTATACTTGAAGCGCGTTCAGGCGGAATACGGAAGATCCAATGAGTGCAAGAGAGCAAAATGACGTGAAATGCGATGTGTAAGTGCTTGCATAGAGTGCATCCCTTCGTACTCCGCCCTTCGCGTGTCTGGTTAAAATTAGGTTCACTGGTACATTACGAATCTTTCTAAAACATATACCTTTCCTATCGCCGACGGAAGTTCGTTTGTTTAAACTCCTTCATCATGGATTTGATTGGTAATGAATATAAAAAAAGATCAATAATTAAATAAAGCTAAAATTTTTACATGATATTATCATGATAAATTTTTTCAGTTTCTTATTATTTAAACATTTACTCTTATATTTCTTGAAATTATGTTTCATCAATATGTAAATAGTAAAAATTACATATTTTCTTCATAAAAAATATAATTTGTATATAACTTTAAGCAAAATTTATTACATACATTATATAATAAATAGAATAAATAAAATAAATTGATAAAAGTTTCCTTACGATTACAAGAAATAATTGGATACATTATCACAGAGATTTACCTCAATTGAAATGAAGAACTAATCAGCATTTTGCTAAAAATAAAACTCGTTCAACATATCAAATATGGTAAACGCGAGGATTAACGATAGGAGACAATACAATAGAAAATGCAATACTGTCGATTGTAAATCATAATTGCGTGAATGTAATTAATGTTATGATTTTCCACGCGTGTTCAAAATTATTTCTATGATTAGGCAAAAGGCAGTAATTAACAAATAAAATTTATATTTTTTAGCTATCTCTACCATGCTACAATGCATATCAACAATGATTTTGATAACGTGTTTTCAAAATATTTTTATATTTGCATAACTTTATTTAAAATTAGTCATCGATCGAAAACTCAGAACTTTATAGCTTTAAAATTTTAATTACTTTATTTAGTACCATATTCACAAGAATTTATCATCCAATATAAAAATTTAATTTATTTATTTAATGTTTAATTGCTAAATTTGACTTACCAAATTACTTCAACAGCACAACTCCAATTACCATTCTCTGTGTAAAATATCCGTTTCGACGAAATTACGTCACTTACTGCCTTTTACCTGATCACAGATTTCATCGATGATCCGGAAAACCTGAAATGAACGACGAATCGCGCGAAATCGCGCTTTTCGTGGTGAGAAAAGGAACGAGCTGGGGTAAGAGGGTACAAAGTAGCCAGCAACCGCGTTACACCAAACCCCGAGGCCAGATAAGAAGCACGGAAATCACCACTGTTAGTAGGAAGTCTTGCGGGCGAGCGTGCTCGCGAGAGTGCAAATTCGAGTATTCGTGCTGTGCCTGCCTTCCGCGCATTATTTACAGAATGGGGGGACATCGACCATTATCAAATTGATAATCTGGGAACATCTTCAGCCGAATTCATTTTTAGGAAAAGACAAATATATTTTTTTCGAAACCTATTTTAGATATTAAGATTTTTCAAATTAAGACTTCTTTAAAAAATTTTTTACAAGAAAATTTTTTTTGAACTCGCTTTGTAAGAGAAGAGTAAATTAAAACGATGAATACAAAAAAAAAAAGAAAGAAAAAAAGACATATAATAGTAATAAAGAAGATGACATTATTGATTCCGAAAATAAAAATAATCCGCTTACTAGAAATAAAATTTGATAGTCATATAAAAATGACTATTTTCCATTATAAAATCGACAAATTTTCTTATCAATGCAATATACATATAATTCTACATATTACAAATATATTTTTACATTTCTAAATTGTTTGAAACAAATTGATGGTTAAGAGATATATTTTAATTTATTCAAACTCAATAATTAAACTTTCTTCAAATAATTTAAAATTGATATTTAAGATTCTCGAGAAATTGTCATTATTCGTTACTTGACATTTCAAATAAGAAGTGCCAGAATAAAAGAGAGTGAGAGAGAGAGAGAGAGAGAGAGATGTATATATATATCCTTAATTGGAAGTATAACGATATCGTATTGACGAGAAATTCAAATTAAATCAAGATTAACAAAAGGCGCCGAATTTCATTTATTTCTTTAACGAATGCAAAGTGGTGTGCTCAATATTAAACAATGACTTATTAAAAAAATTTTGGTACGTTAAAGTTGTTATAAACTGAAAAATAAGTAGAACAAGATATTAGTTTTGATAGAAAAAAATACTATTTAACATAACTGTATAGAAAAGAAATTTCTATAAATTTAAATTTTATTTCTCATCGCTTTGCAATCTCTTTTAGAAAAATTTAAACATAAACGTAAGTACACAACAATTTAACAATAAAAATTAAGAGTTTTCCAATTAATAAATTTATTTTATATAAATACTTTTTTTAAATAAAACATAAATTTTTATAAGAAAATCACAATTTGAATTTTCGCGGATCTAATAAGAGCGAATACTTTTATAAAAAAAAGTAATTATAATTTAAAATTATTATAATATTTAACATTGTAAATTAAAAGAATTATAAAAAAATTAATAAAAAAAAGACTAGTGTGTTTAAATGTTATGAAATTTCTTACATTTTCAATTACTTTTAACATTAAAGTTTCACTCTTGCTGACGTTTTCCTACAAGCTGTTCTACAACAGCATATATGAGCACGTTCAACTATCTCCTCTAAATAAATTTTTTTTGTCTACCTAGTTTCTCTCTCTCTCTCTCTCTCTCTCCCTCCCTTTCTCTCTTTTTCTTTTTTTCTCTTTCTCACTTTATTTTTGTCGGCCAATTCTCTTCGATTCTCTGAGCGCGATAGAATCGAAAGAGTCGAACGGTTCGTTAAATGCCTTTTAACTCGCCGTTCTGCGAGTCAGTTTTTGAAGTGAATTGCTGACAAAAAAAGCTTTCAGACACATTTTTCGTTTCGAACATTAAAGTCAAGTGTACACTTAATAAAATCATTATAAATATAGAGCTTGCAGAAAAAAATAATCTGATATATTCATGGACAGTTCCTACAAATCTATATTTGTATACAAGAATTTGCATTTGAAAAACAAAATTTTGGGTTGTGTAGCCGTAACCGTAGCCGTATAAAAATCGCTTTCAATTTTATATATACAACATATGTTAGAGAATTTTAGAATTAAAGAATATATATTTTTATAGGAAAGTTTTATATACTTGCAATTCACTCTTAAAAAGAAAGAAAAGAAATCCTCAAATGTATTTCAAACCTTATGAATAAAGGCAATGAAACAGGACTTGTATGCCTCAAATATCCTGCAATACATTTAATGTACAATATATTAAGAACAAGAGATGTTGTGTATTTTAATTAAAACTCTCTGTTGCTCTATTAATTAAATATACTATAAGGACAAGATCAAGGAATAAATAATCACATCTAGCGCTAAATATGTAATGGACTAAAATCTATTTACACGCGCTGAGAGAATCGAGAGAGATAGACAGAAACCATAATTCACGTGAAAAGACTATGACTAGCAACAACCTTTGAATCATGAAGGGGACAAGCTTAAAGGAAGGCAGGCTTGAGTTCTGAGCGGCAGGCAAAAAGTGAGCAATAATAATTAATTACAGACGGATCATACTTGTGTTATTTATAATCATACTGGAAAGAGCAAAGCGAGAAAAGAATATATAGAGAAAAAAAAGAGAGAAACGCTATTTATCGGTACTCGGGAATTGTTCCCATAAGAACATACACAAGTTATTATATATGCTTATCTAATTTTGTCTGTACAAAAAAAAAGACAAACGTTGATTGCGTACTTCATAATAACCAAGTATTGCACCGTCATTGCTATATTGTGAAAAAAGTGAGAGAGGGAGAGGAAAGACGTACGTTCCCCTTTCGGACTCCTACAATTGCAATTTCTTGGCTGCTCCACGAAAAAACATAGTAACCAATATCCTTGCGAAAATTTATATGTACTAATTTTTACAAATATGACGTCTATATGTCTCAACTGATTCTCTAATTCTTGACGTAGTATACTCGTTTGAACCTTCGAAAAATGAGTACATTTTCTAGATTTTTTTGCAGCGTAACGATTTAATAAGAACTTTTCTTTTTTTTACGATATTAATACAATATTATTAAGTACTTAAATAAAATTTTTTTTAATGTTATGCGAATATTTGCAGAGCTTCTCCAATTTTAGGTGGCTGCACGGTGTACATGAAAACGTTCGTTTATCATATCCAAAATCAAAAAAACAAATTTTTTCTTATTAAACGTATTAATAGCTATCTGTTATCCAATTTTGCGCTGCAAAAAAATCTAGAAAATGTATTCATTTTTCGAGAGTTTAAACGGGTATGACCCCTTAATTAATAATTAAATTTAATTAATTATTAATTTTTTAATCTTTTCATTAAAATCAGATATTATAGAGAATTACTACTTGATCAACTATTAGCAAACTAATGCTCACAGAATCAATCTAAAAAAGATACAAAACGACGCATTATTTGTAAAAATTATGACCCGAATTTTCATAAGAAATATCGTTACTCTGGTTCCGCGGAGCGATCTCTCTACTTCGCTTCGTTATCCGCGCATTTCGGTTTGGTGTATAAGCGGCGTTTGGATACCTTGCTGGGTGAGATGCCTATTGTGGTTGCTAGGTGCCATCATGTGCATCTGGTGTGCCCCGACCGGCGATCTCAGCGACAAATTGTTCAGGTTCACGTTTATCGAAAGATTCGTATTGTTACAGGTGGTGGTCAGGTTGTTGTGATTGTTCGGTGGTGACGTGGTGCTAGCGTTGGTACCCACATTGGTAGCCGCATGAGGTGACAGTCCGGAGCTATCGGTGGTAGGGGCCGACGGATTCGACGAGGTGTTGTGCGAGGCGAAGTCCTTGCCACCGTTGGCGCCGCCGGCGCCGCCGGTGCCACCGGTGGAGCCGGCCGAGCCGCCCGTCACCGTCTTCGAGCACCTCAGGCATTTCGGCAGCCAGGAATGGCGACGCACGAACTTTCTATACTCCTTCCTCACCTGCAAGAGTGAAACAGAACCCGCCCGACCCGACAAAACGAGTTTAACGGTGCGTGAAAGAACTAAAGGCCTGTGCGAGACAGCGTGCGGATGTGTCACGTGCGTGTCTTCGCGTTTGATACGTGAGAATTGCAGACTACAGAAAGTTGCAGACAGCCTCGCAAAGAATAGCAATCATGCAAGTTTAAAATTATATATATATATAAAAAATAATGATATAAAGAAACTACATTTTTTCATATTTTATTCAAAATTTATATATTTATATATATTATCTTTAAGCAAAAAAAGTTTAAAGGAAGTTGTCTGCAACTATTTGTGAGAGTATTGTGCAATATAAATTTGAAGATTCGCAATTCTGGTGCCGATTTAATGAGAAATGAGAATAAAAACGGTGCTTCTCGCGATGACAACAAAAAAAGTTAAATTCCTGAGAAAATTATAATAAGCATACTACGGGTGACGAAAGTGCGCGAAGTAAACGCACAATAATTTGTATTACCACAGCACTTTATTAAACATATCATTTTCTCATCTCCATGTTCTGATATTCGTGAGCAAAATAATACGATGTTGACATGATTATCGTCTCGGTGATCTTAATTAGCATCAATTACGTAATCGATATGTTAAACTTAAGTGTTAGGAAATTCTTCAATTTTTAAATTTATATAAAAATTTATATACAAAAATGGAAATACGTGGATTTATAAAAGATCGTTACAACTTGCTGCTACTAATCTCATTGTAAAGAAATATAAAATGTACACAATTTTTTTTTTTTTTTTTTTGTACAGGCAACGAAGTGTAACATTTGTAACATTTCATTACATCAATCATTCATCGAAAATATGCAATAAAAATGAGTGTTATGGAAAGCGTATCGATGCAAAGTTAAATTGCTATTATAAAGAATTGCACGAGACTATTCTTATGCGATAAAAATTACATATTTCTATCATGTTACATATTTCTCGAATAACTTCGAAGTTTGTTGTCTGTTTTCTCTCTCCGGGAACATTCGACAATGTTACCAGAACCGTCTAAATCAAGGCGGACTTCTGTGCCCCGACGTATTCCCTTACCTTCTCGTTCTGTACGCAATGGAACACAAAGATAAACAGCCCCTGGAGACTGTTCAATACGGTGAAGATGTACGCCATCACAACGGACTCTTGGTTTAAGTAGAGGAGCCCGAACGTCCAGGTCAGACCTAGTAGAAACACTAGCACGATAGCTCCCCGCAGCCAGGCCCTGATCAGAAGATACAGGATAATAAATTACATCGAAGAACAGCCAGTCCCAGGTTTCTGTTTATAATACAAATCGCGATGGCGGCGCTTAAAGGGGATCAATATATAATCGTGTAAAATCTCTGGAATATATATTTCGTTAAAAAATCCAAATCTTATGTAATATATGTCGTACGCACTTCTTTTAAAAAGATTCAAAATTAATATTTAGTATTATTTAAGTTTTCTTGTAGCAATTTAATAAAAAAAAGATTGATATATTCGACGGTCTTATACACAGAAGAAGAGTACGAGAAAGGAAATAAAGAAAATATCTTTCGTGTAGATGAGATAACTTGATGCATTTTTTTTTTGCGATCATTCTGCGACATTCTATATTTGTTACAATTAATTCTAAAATAAAAGTAGAGCCGTAAAAATATCGCGTTTCATTAAAAATTTTAAAAGATTTATTTATAAAAAAGATTTTATCTGCTTATTATAAGTAATGAATGAGTTCTTCTCTTTTAGTAATCTTCATTTTTATTTTCCGAATTTGCTAGTCATAAAAAAATCAAAAAAATGATTGCAATCAATCCCAGGTTTCTTCAGTCGACCGCAACACACGGTTTAAATGCTTAGGATTAATAAATGTGACGTTGAAGAAAAAAAATAACGCTGCTGTCACGTAGCTGTCGTGAGACACGCGACGGGCGACGTTTAAATATTACGACATTATGCAGAGTCCGATCTTTTATTTTCGCAGGCACTGCTTTAAGCGTCGCCGAAATCGCAACATCTTATCTAAATCGTTGTGATTAGAACGTGACGTTACACAGGTAGGCGGATATATCTCTACGGTATACTTCCACGTCTATCTACTTGTAAATCAGGCGTAATACCCGAAACTAAGGAATATACTACATGCAGTGAATCGTTGTGTCTACTCACAGGAAATGCAAGTGCCATAATAAATATAACGAATAGTTATTATACCAGCCAATTTCAGCTATTATGTTAATATGAAGTTGACACAATCAAGTTGATAAAATTTTCCTTGCAAAGCAGTTAAAAAATATAAGAAAAGTGAATATCTAGAGAAAAGAAAATGATCTTATATCAATTTATAATAACTACTTTATTCAATAATTAAAATTAAATTTTATTTACTATAATCACTTAAGTATAGCAATATTTTTTTGCGATTTAAACAAACAATAAGCTCTCACAATTAAAAAAAAATTTTAAGATTTCGAAATGATTAAATAAACCGTATTGTCATGACCTTTTAATTGCGAAAAGTGCGCGTACATGAAAGTTTAATTCTCATAAATAAAATTATTTTTTATTTTATTGTAATCATTTACTTAAAAATTCGTAATATTCAAATATATTATAAATATAATACATCTCTTCATACGCTTATTTCTTCAACTGTTGTATTAATTACATTATGCACACATATGTTACATTGGCGTTTTAAATCGCGTTTCCGGTGAGTATCACGTTATCACATATGGCGAGTGTTTCGATGTATGATGTGAGAGACTAAAGATTACGGCTACGTTCACAAAATCAGTGTGAAATGATACTCGAATAGCTTAATTAAAATGAAATGGACCAAAGAAAAAAAAATAATGAAACGAGCGAGATGGTGATCAATGACGATGTTAATGATATGATGGGTGAGTAATAATAAAAATGGTAAATATCTTACAAGTGCGCTTGCAATTTGTTGGGAAGAGCATTCTCTTCCTTTCCACTACCAACCAACCACGCCATGCAGAGAATGTAGAACAGTGTAGACAGAAGTGGGTAGAAGATTTAATACAAAAATGAAACAAGACAGCAGTTAGGTGATTGTTCCGACACCATTAATTAATTGATTATAACTTATGTTTCGATTTGCAATGCTCGATTCGCATTATTTTTTTCCGAGCACGCAAGCATTTTTTGCTCGCAAGTAATATGATTGATCGTTATGATTAATTATGTCAAAATAAAAAAATCATTGTACAAGAATATTTTAATATCCGTCATCACGACAAATATTATTTGTAATAATCCGAATCGGGATTGCAACAATTTTTTCATTACCATCACCAAATTATTTACATGTTTTCACGATTTTGTAAAATTAGAGACAAATTTTTTTTTCTTTTACACTAATTTCACACAAATTATACTTCCGTTCACAAAATTTGTAAATTAAACGTGATAATATACAGGGTGTCTCAAAAAAAGGATGGATATATCAATATATTTCTGCATTTCATACAATTATCTATGAAATAAAAATTCATAGGTATAACAATCTGCAAAGTTCAAAATCTATGGCATCGTAGCAGATATCTTTAGAATTTAATATTTACAAATTAAAAAAATTGTATTTTGTATTTCAAATCTCGTATTTTTAAAGCATTAAAAATTATTACTAAAAAGCTTACTCGCGTTTTTCGATAACACTTAGCATTATCTTGCATAAAATGCAGAATTTTTGAAACCTAAACATGGAATTCAAGAACTTTATAAAAAGTTCGTAAATATAATGATTTTTTTTATTTAAACCGTAAATAGTTCATATAGTTATTTCGACAATTTTTTCAATCATCCTGAGCGGTACACCCTGCATACGACGATCTGTGTGATCGAACGATATACTCGTGTATATCCTAAAATGATATATCGTGTATATCACAGCAATACAGTGGTGTGTCGAACGAGAACGAAATCTGCGGTCATTCCAAACATAGGACTCAAAACCAAAACCAAAAATTCAGCATGGCCGCCAAAAGATGCGTGACAACAAGATCCGCGTTCGGGAGATCTCTTTAAGCAAGTAAAGCTTGCGAACGTGTAAACCGAAAGCATCAAACAAACATCTCGGATACTACGCTTCGACGGGAGGATCAAATCTCGAATGTGACGGACAACGGACGGACTCGATTGATATACGGTATATACAGTTCGTAATTTACGTTGATTTACTATAGAACAAGCTACTAGGGATCACTGCTTACCTTGCGCTAGCCAGTCGGGAATGCTCTTTACTTTTCATGGCTACGGTAGTGTTCGCATGCCGACACATCATGTAGATCGCCATCGATAGAAATACCAGATTCGCCTGCGAAAATGACAATTAAAATCGGTTAATAACGGCGTTTTCGGTACCATTATCGTAAAACTGAAAATCTCAAAAAAATGTCACGTTAATATATATATATATATATATATGAAGTAGTTGCAATCGTATATTATCAATTCTTCTTAACGTGCTTTTCTTTAAGCAGATCAATTGCATTGTTTAATTAATTAACATAATATATTAACTAATTACCAATATAACGAGTATCACAGGCCCAACGAAGCTAAAGATGAAATAATTATCTGCACGCAGCCAGCAATACCGATCGGTACCGTAGCTGAGTGGATCAATTATGCAGGAAATTCCTACAACCAGTAGCGGTGCGCCATATGCGACCAGATAATACCAACGAAGTCGAGATTTTTCCGCCTCGAAGACTTCGATCAGCATCACGTATAATTGGAATCCTGCGATGTGATATAAAATCGAGTAAAAAATAAATGACGATAAAGCAGAATACATTACAAATTGCGACGCTAATAAGACGAATGAATGAATTAACCTTCGAGGAACATCCAGGCAAATGCACACAAGAAGAAGAAGTGCAATAAGCCGGCCACGATGCCGCAGAGGACCCTCTGATTCGTCTGACCGATCCCACAAACAAAGAGTATCTCGGCTATCAGCAGGCACATGCAGAGATTCTTGTGAATCGTCGTCCTATCCGACTGTAAAGAAAATCCGTGAGTGAGGAAAAAAAATTCATCTTGCTGCAATTGAACGCCGATCAATATATATATCGCAGTTATGTATATTACCTTCAGTCCGCGAAATAATTGAAATGTGAGAATGGCCAGAACGAGACAGACGACGGAAATGATGCAGCCTATATACGTGATGATTTGCAGAGCGACTTGATGAGCGATGTCCAATCTGACGGCGTGCACGTCCATCAGCACGGCAAAGTTCGTCAGGTGATTGCATTCGCATACGGTGTGAGTCTCGTTGGTCTTTTGTATTTGGCATCCCTCGTCCGACCACGCACTATGTGAAATAAGGTATTGCGTGTAGAGAAGATATTGACATTTTCCATCCAATATACAAGATGCGTTAAAATCCAGCCGCGCATAAATTATGGATTTTCAAGCTATGTATTTTAAGATTGAGCTTTTCTTATTAAAGACTTATAAGAGTTAATCAATGTTGAAAGTTAAGAGTTAGATTTTCAAGATAAAGAATTCATTTAGAAATCTTACTTTTCAATCAATTTTGAATAATCTTTTTTATAAAATTTGTGTATAAAATGTTGAATTTCTTAATCAAAAGTGTCAAATTAAAAAAAAATAATGAAAAAAGTAAATAATTACAAATAAATGTTCAACGATGTGTCGTGAGCGTTGTATATGGCGCAATGAAGACATGGGAAGAAAATTAAAAATAAAGAAATGAGAAAGGAAAACTCTTTCTTCCCGGTATTCCTGATATTGTGTAAAGTGGAAACAGGATCGGATAAAGGCGAAATTACCTCAAGATGTAATCCCAGAAGACGCAAGTGGGGTTGGTGACATTCTCGACTACCAGATGCCTGAAATACACCCGGACGGGCTCCGAGAGCTGTATGTGCCGGCCTTTTCCCAAGGACGCCGAGATAACTTTGCTGTTGAGAATACGAGTGGTGTTTCTCCGCGACACGGGCTGGGGATCGTCGTTCATGACGACGGACGGCGGCTCGGCTTGCGGCTGCAGTATCTCCTCGAGTCTGTCAAATGCCATGAAGACCAGCCGCACGACACCGCCCTCGTTGCTATCCACCAAAGCGCCCCTGGTAAGTTCCACGTGATCGTTCGAGACGGTCCACTTTTGCTGGGCGGCGTCGCTGGGGAAAACTTCTAGCTCGTTGTCGATGTTGCGCGCGTCCAGTACGCGAACTTCCATCACTGTAGTGAAGACACGCACGCGGCTAATTAAGCGAGTAGGTGTTTCACTCCCTCGGCGCGGTTAATGCGCTCCGTGAGAATTCTAGCCGTAAATTCGCGGAAAACGCGAATTAAATTACGGCAATACAGCAGTTTTCAAACTTGTACATTAAATATTCATTTCTAATGAAAATTTAAATTTTTGTCACAAATAAATATATAATAAATTAATTAATTAAAACAAACTTGTATTATAAAGATACGTGTGTTACAAGTTGAAAACTTCTGAAGCAGAATAAAATTAATTTTTTTGTCTTCTTCGACTTTTATTTACGCAATCAAATAAAATTAAAAGGGCAGATAATTCAAATAAATTTATCAAAACTTTTTTAATTACATCAAATTCGTCAAGGAATTTAATTGTCAAAAAAAAAAAGTACGATAGTTCTAATACATTTTGTCGCGAAATAAACGATTAAAAAATGATCGCGGAATCAATCAGTAGCATTGCCAGGAAGAAGGACTTAATGCGATTTCGATTTTTCTTCTCAAAGAGAGGACGTAGCATCCGACCGGCTGTCGCTCATCATCTTTTCTCCTCCTTCCTCCGACACTTTTTGCCCTTCGCCGCGTTATGCAGTTTATCAAGCGTGCATCTGATGACGCTACGATGCACGTATATACTGCGGCTCAATCAAGCAGCGACGCACTTCCGGGAAGTAAATCAAGTCGCTCGTAATTCTACCGCTATTTTGTAATAATAATAACGCGCGCCCGCCCCATACTCGCCGGATTACAACGTAATCCAGGCGGGTACCGGAGAATTACCATGGATTCAGATCTGTATTTTATCTATACCGGAGATTACCGGGTGTTAGATACGCGAACGATATAAATCATTCGATTGCTCGCGACGAACGCCGAAGGCATATGGAACGTGCGTTCGTTACGTGATTCTCAAAATGATGGAATGGAAATGGCTACTCCGGAGGGATATACACATAATTTTACTTCAAGATAAATTACCCAATTACGTAAATTCTAGGTTGTCTGGCAAAAAATATATAAATCGAAATTGTTATTAAAGTTAAATCACATTCATCAAATTAAATAATATTAATAATTTCTCAAGAATCGCACACATAAGTATAAATTTATAGCCTTACAATATACTATAAGATATATAATTTTTCTAGATAATGTAACGTATTTTTTCTTTTATATTTTGAAGTTATGTATTTGTATGGTAAGGTGCTTTAGAAAAGCTTGAATAAAAAATATTTTTTCCTTAGATTTAAAATCAAATCGCGATCCTATTTTATATGGCAGATAAAACTAAACGTGATTTTAAAATTATATTCTATAGTTATCTAAGAACGGAGCAGTTGTGTAATAAGATGAGCTATAATAAGTAAAGAAAAATAATAACCTAATAAGGAAGATATTGAGGTTCTTAATGTCCTCTCTCCCTATCTGGCATGGAAGGATATAATAAACGCATATTTTGTAAATTGCTGCAGCAATTACCAATCATCATTAGCAGTACTCACGTATGTTTTTGCCCTCGTGTATGATGGTCTTCTCGTGCATGAGCGTGTCGGCCAATAAGAAGGCGTTCTCCTCGAGACCGATCAGCAGCGACGTGGCAACCCTCATCTGCTCCTGATGACTGAGATCTTTCCAGGACGCCATTTGCGCCTTGTCGAGTAGATTGCTGCCGGTCCTCACTACGCCTTGGAGCAACTCCGTGACGCTGACCTCTCTCTGATTCGGATCCTGGTAAGTCTTTATGTCCAGCGCCATCTTCTCGGCCATGTTTTTGATGATCTTGGTGGTGATCATCATGTCGCCGCCGTACAAACCACGACTATTGTTGGTCACCTGCGAGAGCTCTCTGCTGATGCCGAGGATCACGTCGCCGTCCGTCACGCGATTTTCTAGCGTGGTCAGCCAGACGGATCGGCACTCGCTCAAGTCTGGAGTATCGCGGTGCCAAAAGGCAGAGTCTCCGCGGGCGAGACATCGCCATCTGGCCAGACCGTTGGCACCGCCGGGACAGCTCTGCACAGCCACGTCGCCGGCCCTGGTCGTGTTCCAGGACAAGTTCCTGGCTATCACCGGGGGACACACCTGTCTACCGTAATCGTACCACTGACCGTTCGAGCTGGACTCCGGATACAGTGTGCTTGGTACTGCAACAACAGCGGTTACGGTTCGGTCAATTTCGTCGTCTTAAATAGCTATCTCAGATTATAACGGCCGGTAGTTAACGGCAGGGCGTTAATGCGATATCGGCGTCACAGCGTCCTCGGGGATGCAGTTCCGTGCGCAACGACGCTCGGAAATGGAATTTCGGTTCTCCCCGGGGGATCTTAATGCTTCGTCGCGATTGGAGCAGAAACGCGCCGTTTAGCAGCGACAATTTATAGACAACAGAAATGTATTCATGTACTGTAAAGAGTGATACAAATGAAAAGTAAAAAGAAATCAGCTGTTATGACTATATAATCTCCGTCATCTATCATGCTTATAACGGGCTATCTGATACGAGCGGCTTATCCTCAAAGTCAATCCATAGATTCGTGGATATCATAACCGAGATACCGGATATAGCTTGTATAAAGATATTGCTGCGATTGTTGTACAAGATTATCGAATATGATTAACTAATTGATAATTTAAAGAAAACAAAGAAACTCGAGAAAATTTCAGATTGTATAGCAGAAAGCAAAATCTTGTTATAAAATATAATAAAATTATAAATCAGATTTCTCAAATATATATTTGTTTCTTAACAAAAACACCATTTTTTAAATATTTGCAGTTAAAGTTTGTTATGCATTCAGATAATTATATTACAACGTGAATAATTAATGTCATATTCCATGATTTGGACACGTATATGTAACACATAACACAACACATTCTATATTTTTGTATTTAATATTCCTTTCCTTTTTTATTTTTCAAAAAATATGTAATGCAAGATATCAATATTATTAGATATTCGATATTATTGTTTGAAATGACGCTTTATTATCTGATGTTTCCCAAGAATGAGAGAGATACTCACCGGTGGTCCTTCGACTAGTTCTCCAGGGAGCGAAGGTGGACGTTGTCGTAGCTTGAGTGGTCTCAGGTATAATCGGCGTCATTGCCGGGCCATTTGCCGGAGGACCGTTCGCAGGAGGTATTAAGTCTTGGTCCTCCTCCTCGATGTCGACGGAGGATCTTGTTGACGTAGGGCTGAAAATGAAAGAGGCTCTTCATTTTTAAAAGAGAGGGAGAGCTCTTTATCCTCGTATATATCAAATTTTATGATGATCGTATAGATTGCGCTTAATACAAATTAACGACATAAAAAAAGTATTTGTTCCCGATGATGTGCAATCAGCGATTGAATGAAATCAATGACTGATATGCGAGATAATGCGCAGAATAAATTTATTTTCTCCTCCACTATATTTATATATATATGTGAGATATGACGTACGATAATAATGAAACATACGTAAACATGATTCTAGATTAAAGCCCAAATTTTTCGGCTTTTAGCCTATCAAATCGCGCATGTTTATGTAGCACACTAACCTCGCCGGCGTTGTTATCGGCATCGACGGGGTGGACGGTGCCGGCGGCTGCTGTGGCGGCTGTTGTGCCGCTGGTAACCGTACCGTAATCTTCGAGGGAGGCCTGACGGTCGGCTTAGCGGTACTCCATACGCTTGGCTGCGAAGTTATGAACCACGGCGGACTCGGCCGAGACGTTGTCGTTGTGGTGGCTGCTGCAAATGTGTTTCGTCGAGATCGATTTTAATGAGGATGGAAAGATCAGTGAACGGTGCGAAGAAACTAGTTTCGTAGAGAAGCGGAGAATCGAGGGAGCTCGTCTACGAGCTTATCGGAATAGAAGACCGAGTATAATTAAGAAGAAAAGTGATTTCAGGGGTGCGGAATATTTAAGGCTTTCGAGAGTTCTTCGACTCTCAGGAATATCAAACTTGCCCCTCTTCTCTCTCTCTCTCTCTCTCTCTCTCTCTCTTTCTTTCCACATCTCTCTTCCTCTCAGATTAATACGATGGGGAGCTTATCTTCCTCGTCGAATTTATATCGGATTCTGGTTAATCATTTGATAGAGTTTGAATAAACTGTCTGTACTTTACGTATATTCCCGATAGGGACTGAAGGAAATGAGATATTCGCGGCACGAAAATATCTAGATACTCTCTTCTATGTTTTTCTTGGCTCGCTATGTTGGGAAGAGCTTATCCGCTGTATCAAATTTATATCGGATTCTTGTTAATCGTAATCATTCGATAAAGCTCGAGTAAATCTCCTTTTGAAAAGAATATATGAATATGGTAAATACAATGATATTGGAATTTTATATTAAAATATTTGATGCACTTAACTGATCAAAATAATTTTGCGAACTAAATTAAATTTCATTGGAAAGGTAAAAGATAAAACAATGTGTTAACAAAATAAAAATATATATACAAAAATAATGATTTTTAAATAGTAAACACAATAGCTTTGACAATATATCTTATTAAAAGAAAAATATTATTATTTAAAAGAAATATTATTAAATATTTCTAATATCAATATTGCTGAATATCTTTATTGATGTTATTTTGTCTCTATAAAAAAATCTATCATTATTTCTCCAGTATCAAAGATAGAAAACATGGAAAATCTATCGCCTTTTCCTCGGAAATGTGATATCGAGTTTTATAATTGAATGAACGAACGCGATAAATGTAAATTAAAAAATCTCCATGACTATCATGTCACATATAAATCGCCTATCCGAGAAGCATTTGCAAATAGAGAATTTGAAGGGTCAAAGAATAGAGATGGAGAGAGACAGAGCACAAAATTAGATTATACGGTTCAATATCTAGTCGCTGAGAAAAAAATTTTTAATCTAGGATAGTGCTAATATATTAATTTTAAAATGAAATAGTTCACGTATTTTGCCACACTATCTATAGAACTCATCCTTATTGACCGAAGGAGCTAGTGATAAGATAAAATATCGGGGTCACTGAAATTTACCCTATCTAAAGCTAAAATAAGCATATACGTTTGTATATATCAAAGAGAGAAGAGGAGTTGATTTTATCTCTTTCACTAAAACCTCATAATTGAAAAATATCGATGTTTTAAAAATATGTATTATTAATAAAAAAGGCAATTTAATATTTATATTTCTTATATCAATTAAATCAAATCAATATCGTTAATCACATTTAATGCTGAAATCTAGACACGAGAGAATAAATGATAAAGACTATAAAAAAAATAGACTAAAAGGAAATAAAATATGTTCAACATATATTCACAAAATTAATTTTAAATTGCTTTTATCTAAAAGAAAAAAAAATAACTTTTCCTATTATATTTCTTTCTTTATCTTTCTTTCTGAAATAATATTAATAATTTATAACATTTATGAAATTTTCCGTGAAGTCCAATAATTATCATATAGTCAAGAGGATAAAAGCTAATGTAAAAGTGGAAGAGTTTTACTTACCAGACACGCACCGATAGTGCGCTTCGAGATATTTGTGTGTGTTCGGACAAGGATCGCCGAATTGCAGCGTGGACGCAACGATGCTGCAGTTCTGCTGGTCGTTGCACCTGGACGGGGATTCGACTCGCGTTTAACAAAATGACCGTGGTACACCCTTACCACGTGTACCGCCATGGATCTTGTTTCTTTCATTTCTTCGATACAGGTGGGAAATGAGAGCAGTGCTCTCAGGGAGAGACTTTTTCGTCGAAATTTATTCATTCCATTCGCGTTGTTTGCAGAGAGTATTAATAATAATTTAATATATTCTTAATAAATTTTTAATTGATAGAAATTGATTAAATTCTTGAGACTTTTAATTAAAAATTAAAAATGTGCTGTGGTGTTCATGGAATTTTATGTCTTTCATTCGATCACACACACAGATAGAATATATTTCTTTACAATATTATATATTTAGTCACTAAATATAGTAGGTAGTTCTCAATTATTAAAGAATTATTATGTATAATATAAAAAGTAAATAGATCACAAAAATTACAAAATAACAAAAAATTGAGTTAATTAATAAAATAAGATAGCTTTTTCAAACGTCAAGTAAAATTGTAAAATAACAAGAATAAAATGGAGAAAGAGTTAATTACAAAAAAGGATTCAAACCATCATGTTTATCGCGCCGTCAGTCGTCGCAATTTTCAAGCCAGTCCACAGAGCATCGTACGTGATTAGACGGGAGTGTCGAATCTAACAATCGTTTCGATGTATTAATTGGCCTACAAATGGTGCGTCTTTTTGGTATTCGTAAGAAATTTGTTCCGCGCTCGGCCAAATCGACGTGTGATGTCACGCGAGGTCCTTTCCAAGGACACACAGATAAGATATAGCAAATAAAATTTCATTAAATTATTCGAGATGCTAAAATAGAGTAAAAAATCTAGAGACGTAATAGACAATTTTTATTAGCATTCTTAGAATATATATTGGAAAAAAGACTATTAAAATCAGCTACTGTTATAATTTTTACAAAAAAATAGTATTATTATAAATTTTAGTGACATCCTTATTGTGGAACTTTGCCTTTGTTCTCAGAATATTTCGGGAAAATTCTCTTTCGCTCTGATGATATTTCGGTCTTCGGAGCATTATCTGCCGCTTGTTATCCCGGGATTGAGTTTTTGTGAGGCTTTGCATATGCCAAGTGTGCTAACTCGAAATTCGATAAAATGTCACGCGACTGCCACGTCGTATAACATGGTGTAATTCCGAAATCCCTGGATAGCAGAAAATTTACAAGTGCGACGACAGACGCGCGAGTTATTTCGTCGGAGGAATTATCAGAGAATTAATCAGACGCAGCGGGCGTACGGAATGACGAAATTCTTATCGTTCTGCAAAAAAAAAAAAAAAAAAAAAAAAAAAAAAAATTCGGGTGCTGTCGATATATTATCATAGTTCAAATAAAATATTGATAGACGCAAAGTTCGCGCTTTCGATGTAATTGGCTCTTGTTCAAAATTAGTTAAGTACAATATATAATTATGTAACAATTTTGATTTATTCGACGGTAATATTCTGTCGTCAATAATAGTTAAAAAACTATAGTATTTTGTTGTTGTTGTTTTAGTGATATGAAAATAACCCTGTAATAGAGAATGTTTATTTTGTCTGTTCGCGTTTAACTCGGCGAATCTGTGCCAACGACAAGAAAAAGATTGACAGCGAAATGTAATATTAATAACGCGATTAAAGCCGCAATAATAAATATATCTCTACGTTATACCCACGGTTTATTAATTATGCATCGGGCGATGTTGCATTATGTCGTTGTAATTATTCATACGATTCGCATAATAGTTCCCGTATCGCGATGGAAATGTGGTCGCATCGGTGGCGTTTCTCTCATCGACAACCGAAATTACAGTGTAGCCAATTATAACGCACTGACGCTTTTATTTGTTCAACAGAATTCGTCAACAAACTATCGTTCTCAATGTTAAGTGATAACATTCGTATCTCATAACCATGTTTCAAGCACGTGATAATAATATTCGTTGCTCATTAATTAGTTGCTTTGAATCGAGCATCTATCTTTAAATGCGCAAGTGAAACAAATCAACGATTTTGCCGACCATCATCTGACCGAAATAATAATCTAGAAAGATATGGAAAATTATTGTTATTATTAAGATATTGTGAGCAAGGTCTCAGTTATTAATGTTTTAACTACATTTGCCAATTTGATTGTAAATTGTAATTCAATTCTCATTTCAAAAACTATAATAAATATATGTTTAATTTCACAGAAATAATTTTATTTCTGCAAAACTAAATGCTGATTTATGAAATATGAAAAATATTTATAGTAATAATAGAGAAACTGGGGCAATTTTGAATATTTATTAAGAAATTTTTCTATATATATGCTAATAATTAATGTGATACAAATACCTTTATATATTTTTTTAATCCATTGAAAAAAAACGTGTTTTATGAAATTTTTTTTCTAAAATAATATCAAAAAATTCCGGAATACTTAAAACGAAAAAAATTTTTTGAGATTCTTTTACTATAAGTAACAAAGTTTGCATTAAAAACTCACAAATATAATATAAAAATCTTGTTACTGACGCAATTTTTAACTGTGTTAAAAATTCAATTAACTGTATTACATTACTGAATCAATTTAGGTGCAGTATTTTCTAAAAAAAAAATATCGATTTTTTTTTCTTACTATCATACACCCCTCTGTCTGATTTCATCCCCATCGTCCGGCTTGCACGGCAGAATATAACGAGGGTAAACGTAATTTCAGACGGGTAAACTACGAACGAGCACGAAAAATCGCCATTTCGCGGATGTTACGCCGTTTATTATTAAGGCAGACTCTCTCTCCCTCCATGGTTTCCCGCCCAGTTCCCTTTGTATTTCTTTTTTCAAACATATTCGTCGGTAACCTTGCTATAATGATCGATTCGACGGTGATTCAGCCCTTTTCCCCGCAGCGTTCGCGGTTAATATCGACTCGACAAAAGGTTTCACAGTACGTTATTATTATCCCTTTTGTTAATTTATCGCGACATTTTTAATCACTTCTAAACTAGGCAACTTTAAATAAATACTAAACAGATAATTTTCGCGTACTATATATTTTTGTAAGAAATCACAGAAATACAAGCACCATGTCATAGAGCTTAAAAGCATTTTACTTTTATTAATTCAACTTTCTTCAACTTCACTTTTATTAGTTCAAGCTAGATTGTTTTTTTTTATCATAGCCAAGCATTCAATATTAACGCGACAAAAATATCTGTTTTTACAACAATGTGAATGGAAGAAAATGTACTCGATAATTTTATTAATTTTGTCGATTGATCGGTGCTGTTATCTTATTTTACGAATACTAAATCGTTTATTGATCCTGAAAATCTTCTTACCGTGGCCAAAATTTTCAAATCTACCTGGATAAATGCTCGTATTTACGGCAACGGAATGGATTAATGGATTAATTGCGCGCATAATCCGCAAGTAAAAGCGCTCGGTCGCGTAAGCGGAGCTTAAAAGCGCCCCGCGGATCGTTGGTAATCCTCGCGATTTAACGAGGCGCGTGTTTACAAACTGTGTCGTATTGTATATCTATGTGCATCTTGCGGGATGCGACTCGCTTCGCGTACTTCGTGCACCACCAGTAAGAAACTTGTCGTCCCGTAAGCGGGCCACGAAACACCCCGGCGGGAAAGCCTCGTAAACTGCAATCGTGTGCATCGCGCGTGGTCTAAACTGTACGCGGCGCAAAACGTCGCCATTAGAACGCCCCTAAAACAACGTTTTCGGTATCGCGGCTACGTGACGGACATAACTCGCGAGTGAAAAGTTTCGTCACGTCGCAATTTTGCGGGAGAACAAATTCGTAGATCCGCACGACCTAAAAACAGCTGTAAATTTTTTACTGACAAAAATTTTTGTTCCTTTAAGAAAGTTATATTCTCGTTATAAAATTCGTATAAATTCTAAAAAGCGAAAAAATGCGTATTTAAAAGTATTTCGCGGTTTTGGAGAATCACAGATCAGACCAACAATAAAATTCACATTTAATTGTAAGTTTATATGTAAGTAACTATGGAGAGATTTCGTCAGCATATTTATTGCCTTATGATAAATATATTACTTTACATCCAATTGTCGCAAAATTTATACTTGATTATAAAAGTCTTCGCGAGAACGTATATTTTTTCGAGATTTTCCAGATTAAATTTCCGATCCCTTAATCAATAAAATCCAGCCATTAATCGCCAGGTTCACGTATCGCGAACGAAAGAACGCGATCTCATGCGGTAACGCGAGCCGTCGCGACGCCTACTATCCCTATCGAACAGAAAAGGGAAGCCGAAGAGTTTTCCGTTTCAGGCTAGACACGCGGGCGAGAAGGAGTGCGACCGAGTCGAGTGACTTTAATCGTCGTAGGAATGTCTTTGTGTTAGCGAAACCTCTCCGTGACTGGCGCGGATTTCGAAAGAATGCGCCGCGTTGAAACTTGACGATAGCGTATAGCGGACAAATAAAAAAAAAAAAAAGAAAAAGAAAACAAGAACCGGGGATGAGCAGGTGAGAAATATCGGAAGGATAAAAACAAGAAAACTATCGAGACGGACGTTTACTTTGGCGCTTATAAATGTTATAAAATCACGACACGAGTCAAATGATGCTCTCGATATTACCGTTCGAGATTTCGAAGACATATTCGTATGTATAGAAAATAGAGTTCACAAATTATTTATAATAATTTTTCATAAATTATTACTGCATCTAGTGATATGACGTAAAAATATCGAATGTAATGAAACAATGTAAATTATTTAATATAATAGTTTCTGTTTGAAACATTGGCCACGTGATTTGCTTTTGATAATTTTGCGAAAGGAAGATTAAAATGCTTAACTGTAAAGAGTTTAACTCCGACTCTCCGACTTCTATTAAAAAATATGACTACTAATAAAATATGGACTTAAGATTCATTATGAAATAATACATTTAATTTAATTTAATTTGATCGTATCGCGTATCTCATTTTCTTTCTCGCTTAATATTCATGCATACTATCTTTCGTCTA